GGGGGGGGCTGCAGCAGCCGCTGTCTCCCCCGCCGCCGCCGCCCCCGGACTCACCCAGCCCGCTGCTCTCCTGGCGGATGTTGATGCGGTTCCTTTCCTCCACTATCGCCCGCAGCATCTGCTGGAGCGATCGGTCCAGCTCTCCGTTCGCCTTCTCTTCTCTCTGCCCAGCCCGGCCGAAACTCTTGAGAGATGCCATGCTAGAGCCGCCGCCGCCAATGATTTCATCTCAGTCTGCCTCGGAGCTCAGACTGCAGGACTGGCCCCTCCCCGCCCCACGTTGATGCGGTTCCTTTCCTCCACTATCGCCCGCAGCATCTGCTGGAGCGATCGGTCCAGCTCTCCGTTCGCCTTCTCTTCTCTCTGCCCAGCCCGGCCGAAACTCTTGAGAGATGCCATGCTAGAGCCGCCGCCGCCAATGATTTCATCTCAGTCTGCCTCGGAGCTCAGACTGCAGGACTGGCCCCTCCCCGCCCCACCGCACCGCACCGCACAGGCACCACGGGCTCCGAGGCAGGGAAAGGAGACTGCAAGAGACTCGCGGGGAGGAAGAGGCCGGGTGCTTTTTGCTTTACGAGACGAGGATATTTCAATAAGGAAGAAGAATCAGGATCCTGCCTCTGGCCGTGCTGCGGGTGGGAGGGAGCTAGTCCCTCTGCAATGCCAAAGCGCCTGGAAAAGTTTCCGAGTCAGTATCATGCACCCGCTGGAAATCTCGGGTTTAACCCCGCTGCTTTCTGCAACCCAGCTGCAGATCGCTTGCAATTTGCTCCCAATGTATCTAGGAGGCACTTCCGCCTCCCATAGCCGAGGAGCTGGGGCTGCTTGCTTATGACACTTCCTGCAACAAGCAGCCAGCAGAGGCGATTTAAAGAGACACCAGGCAATTCCCCGCCAATGACCGCAGAAAGCTGGTGTGTGACAAGGAGAAAGGGGCGGAGAAGGCTGTAGGGTGGAGTTTGTCTGAAGTCATCATGACAAGCTGTTTCGTCCCCCAACTCTCTCTCTGCTTGTGCAATTAACCATATGCATGGTGTACCAGTTATAGAAATAAAGGTGCTCTCTGGCACAGATACACCCCTTTGTCTGGTGGCTTCTAATCCATTCTCCTCTGGACTTGTTTTAACATTTTTAAGGCCCAGAGCCACTTCCAACAGTTATTTTAAAGCAAAATGCCATGTTTTTCTCTGCTTCTCCATCACACCTATTCAATTAGGCCCTGTCTATACTTGGAAAAATCCATGACAAAGGCCCAAATAAGCTGTGTTCAACTGGACTGGTCCACTCAAGGTTTTGAAATGGCATTGATCTTAGGGTCCATCTATACAGTTGAATTTTCCACCATGGGTATAAGAGGTTAAGTAAAATAGACTGTACAGTCCCCTCATTGTTATTTTGTAGTAGAGCACAGAAGCCCTAATAAGGCCCCACGACTGTTATATTAGACATGGTAAAAACACAGAACAAAACAAAGTCCATGGCCTAAAGAACTTACAGTCTTAGTAAAAGACAAGACAACAGATGCCTACAGGCATCCCAATGGGAGAGTGCAAAGAAAATAATAAGACAACAGTACAAACCAGGGGTCTCAAACTCCTGGCCCATGGGCCATCCCCCAGCAGAACAATTGTGCAGTGTGGCTCTGGAGTCTTAGTGGGCTGGGGAGAGGGAGGGCCTGTCTGTTCCTACTCCTGCCACCACTCCATACACTCCCCTCCATAGCACCATGTCTATGGTGCCATCCTCTCCCCCTGTAATCCTTGAAACTGTGTCCTCAGGGACAGGGTTCCATGAAGAAGAAGGGGGAGATGGCAGGAATGGTCTGGGCTTGAGGAACAGGAACCGACAGATTCTCTTCCCTGGGGCCCCCGCCAGCCAGGACTCCTGGGCTGGATTGCATAACTGTTCCAGCCTGGGATGGAACACAGCAGGGAGTTGAGACCTCCTGGTATAGATGCTGACCAAACATACACTAAGCATCAATGTCCTATGTATTCTAGAATGTTCAGCCTTCATCAGGTAACATGTTAATTAGCACATGAAAACAAAGTAAACACTAAGTGTAAACCTGTAGATTAGGCCTAACTAAAGTTGCATTATTAGTTATTAACATCCATTGTCAGTCAATACTTTTGCTAATCCAGAAAGGGATTAGTGGTCAATTGGCAGCATTCACTGCTCTGTATATTAATTTCCGTGAATTAGTGTGAATTAGTGAGTTTCTACTGTGCATATTCGGTAAGGACTAGGAGAGACCTTTATGAATTGTGAATGTTGTAAATTAGGCCTCAATTCTGCAAAGATTTATGCATGTTTAATTTACAACCTATTAGATGTCCCAATATAAATCTTTGCAGGATTGTGCATTTCATATGCTTGTAAACTGTTCAACCAGGGGTCATGTTTTAATCTGTGTTTGTACAGTGCCTAGAACACTGGGTCTCAATTAGGACCCCTAATTATTACTGTAATACAGATTATATGGCTGTTCAACATCTTGACAGATGAAGGAAGAAGCGACAAACTTTGTCAGTGATGCTTAGCAATGGTATGAAAAAAGAGCCTGATGTGTGAGTGGCAAACCTTCCCATGGTGGCTACAGATGGAGGTTGCTTCACAGTCCTGGGGGGCCTCTGATTTACAAGTGCAGAGCGTTTGCAGGATCACATCCAAAGTTAGCTGTGAGCAATGGAATCATAGTTCCAGTGCATTAGGCACTATGCAGACCATTAACAAGGACAGTGCCTGCCCCACAGAGCTCATAGTCCAGCCAGCTAACACTTTTGCAGGCCAAATAGACTTTTGTGAATAATTTTTTTGATAAAATTGTTATACGTGGTATTAACTATTTAATTATGAAAACACTTGATCACTATCACTCAGCTCAGCTCCACGGCTTCTCACTCAGTGAGGTTCTCCACAGTGCAGAAGGTCATCACAAGGGCTATGGATCTCTCATGCCTCATTTCAGACCTATTTTAAGTTACATGAGTCTTACGGGGTTTTTAAGGCCTCATGAGGGTGTGTCTATACAGCAGGGCTTAATTTGAAATAATCTACACAATTGCGTAGCTTATTTTGAAATAGTTTATTTCAAAATTGGGAGCATCTACACAGCACTTATTTCAAAATAGAGCACTCCTCCTCTGACTTTCCTTATTCCATGTACAATGAGGGTTACAGGAGTCAGAGTAAGAAGACCTCCAGCATGACAGTATTTCGAAATAACTGCCTGCTGTGTAGATGTTGACTAAGTTATTTTGAAATAACACTAGTTATTTCAAAATAATGTGGCTGTATAGATGTACCCTAAAAGGGTGCATAGGTGCTGTGTGTGTGTGAAAGAGAGAGAGATAGAGAATTTCAAAATGGCGAGGGGATTACATTTTTTACCATAAAAGACATTTATTTACAAACTCAGTTTTATCAATTACTATTTGTGATGCAAATAAATTAACAATAATACCCAGCAATATTATAACTACATTCTACAATAGCAGAATAATTATACACTGATATTGAATTTCCTCTTGCTTAGATATTTATGGGATTATTCCATACGGATCAGTGTTAAATATGGTACAATTTTGAAATCAACACTTTTTTTCCAGGTAAAGGGGAGAAGTAATTATGGGTTTAAAACTAGGGGCATCCTACATAAACACATACAAAATATTGTACCCTATTTATGTCATTTTTTCAAATAATGATTTCTTGACCCACAAGATTAAGAACAAAGGGCTGTATTTGCATCCTGGCCTTCATTGTGCATGCTCTAGTTCAGTGGTCCCCAACCATTTGGGGTTGCTGGGCGCCAGGGGGCGTGGCCGTTCACCCGCCCCATAGCTGCATTCCCGGGGCCGGCGCTGGCGCTCTCGCCCCCCCCGCCCCCTTCCCCAAGCGCCGCGCGCCCGGGGCTGGCGCTGGCGCTCTCTCCCTCCCCCCATGCGCTGCGGGGGGTCAATCCACGGTGCCCCCGGGTCTCGCCCTCTCAGTGTGCCACACAC